ACCGCCTTCAATGGTTTCTCTTTGCCTTCAAGATAAATGCAAAATCCTAACTGTGTCCCACAAGGCCCTCCAGCACCTGGGTGCTGCGCTTTGCCCTCCCCTGTCCTCGGGCCTGGCAGCAAGGAGCTTTCATTCCCTCACACTCTTCAGGCTTGCTCACGCCCTTGGACGTCTGTGAGTGCTGTTGCCTCCAACTGAACTGGCTCTTTACCTAGTTAGCATATTCTTTTCATAGATATACTTGGATATCAATGTAGATGGTATATTTAGTAATAACACTTTAAAAAACACATTTTAAGCCCTCGCCACTGTTGCTCAGTGGTTAGAGCATCTGCCTGCACATTGAAGGGTCATGGGTTTGATTCCTAGTCAAGGGCACATACCTGGGTTGTAGGTTCGATCCCTGGCCCCTTGTGTGGGAGGTAACCGATCAATGTGTGTTTCTCTCTTTCTCTCTCCTATCCTTCCTTTCCACTCTCTTTAAAAATCAATGGAAAAATATCCTATGGTAAGGATTAACAACAACAACAACAAATAAAACCACATTTTAAAATAAATTCTTAAAATAATAAAAGTAAATAAAATAAACAATTTAAATGAGTATAATATTATGAAACAACCCCATTATATGTCTTTGGATATGACCCCCATAAATGGAGGAAACCCATTAAGTGAGAATGTGAATGTTTAATTACAATGCCCCAAATTTTAAAATAATATCAGTACCAGTTTCCTAAATGTGCTGTATACATGTACACACATTTAATTCTTCCTAAACCACCATAAGAAAAGAAATTTCTTGATGTGTGCTCACCACTGTATGTCCAGTGGTTGAGCAAAGTGCCTGGCTAGTAGCAGGTGTAACTATATGCCTGTTGATTAGATGGGAAGGGGGTGAGGAGTGGAGTGGAGTGGGTGGAGGAAACATGCTGGGGTTCCCATCATTACCCATGGGTAACTGACAGGCACACCCGCACACAAGTCAAATGACCTATACAAGGTCACACAGCTAGAAATTGAGCACAGAGTCCAGCATCAGAGGACATGCTCTTTACCACTAGACTATGCAATCTGAAGTGAAGGAGCGGAGGGGGGAGCAAGAGAACCCTCCGCTCTTTTGGCTCCGCGGGCCAGATAGAACAGCTGATCGGGCCGGATACGGCCCGCAGGCCGTAGTTTGCCCAGGGCTGGTCTAGGTGGTTCTCGTGTGTGACGTTGTCACAAGATGGCCACACGCTAGCGGAGGAGGGGCCCTGCGGCTGCTCCACGCGGTGAGGGAGGCCTGGGGGTCCCACAGCTCCACACAGGGTGGAGGAGGCCGGTCCCAGCGTCTCCACTGCCTTACACAGAGGAGGTGGGTCCTGGTGGAGGATGCGGGTGGTGGCAGGGGAGGGCAGTTGGGGGCCATCGGAATGGCAGGGGAGCAGTTAGGTGTCAATCAGGCTGGCAGGCAGAAGTGGTTAGGAGCAATCAGGCAGGCAGGCAGGGGAGTGGTTAGGAGCCAGCAGTCCTGGATTGTGAGAGGGATGTCCAACTGCCGGTTTAGGCCCAATCCCTGCGGGTACAGGCCAGGCTGAGGGACACTCCCCCACCCCGGGCATGAATTTCATGCACTGAGGCTCTAGTATATATATATAAACCTATGACTTATAACTTAAAGGTAAAAGCTAACATTGCTCCATGGGATCTAGAATATTCTTGGCCACAATATTGATGAAACGGTGGCTGTGCATATCCTCATTGGGGTTGGTGTGGTAGGCAGAATAATGGGCCCTCAAAGATGTCCACATCTTACTCCGAGGAACCTGTGAGTATGTTACCTTACACGGTAAGTAGGAATTAAGGCTGTAGACAGAATTAAAGTTGTTAACCAGCTGACCTGAGATGAGCCAACTATCCAGGATGACCTTGGTGGGCCCATGTAACTACCAAGGGTTCTTCTGGAAGAGGGAGGCAGAAGAGAGAGAACCAGGGTTATGGAGCCTGGCATTGCTGGCTTTGAGTCTGGAGGAATAGGGCCATGAACAGGTGGCCACAAGAAGCTGGGAAAGGCACGAAAAGTCTCTCTAGAGCAGCGGTTCTCAACCTGTGGGTCATGACCCCTTTGGGGGTCGAACGACTCTTTTACAGGGGTCGCTGAAGACCATCGGAAAACACATATATAATTACATATTGTTTTTGTGATTAATCACTATGCTTTAATTATGTTCAATTTGTAACAATGACAATACATCCTGCATATCAGATATTTACATTACGATTCATAACAGTAGCAAAATTACAGTTATGAAGTAGCAACGAAAATAATTT